CCTTAGGGTACCCCCTTAGGCTACCTTGTACCTTAGGGTACCTTGGCCTACCTTAGGGTACCTTGGCCTACCTTAGGGTACCTTGGCCTACCTTAGGGTACCTTGACCTACCTTAGGGTACCTTGACCTCCCTTAGGGTACCTTGGCCTCCCTTAGGCTACCTTGGCCTCCCTTAGGCTACCTTGGCCTACCTTAGGGTACCTTGGCCTACCTTAAGGTACCTTGGCCTTCCTTAGGGTACCTTGGCCTCCCTTAGGGTACCTTGGCCTCCCTTAGGGTACCTTGGCCTCCCTTAGGTACCTTGACCTCCCTTAGGCTACCTTGGCCTACCTTAGGGTACCTTGACCTCCCTTAGGCTACCTTGGGGTACCTTTGCCTCCCTTAGGCTACCTTGGCCTCCCCTAGGGTACCTTGGCCTACCTTAGGGTACCCTGGCCTCCCTTATGGTACCTTGACCTCTCTTAGGCTACCTTGACCTCCCTTAGGGTACCTTGACCTCCCTTAGGGTACCTTGACCTCCCTTAGGCTACCTTGGCCTCCCTTAGGCTACCTTGGCCTACCTTAGGGTACCTTGGCCTCCCTTAGGGTACCTTGACCTCCCTTAGGCTACCTTGGCCTACCTTTGGGTACCTTGACCTCCCTTAGGGTATCTTGGCCTCCCTTAGGGTACCTTGGCCTCCCTTAGGGTACTTTGGCCTACCTTAGGGTACCTTGGCCTACCTTAGGGTACCTTGGCCTACCTTAGGGTACCTTGACCTCCTTAGGGTACCTTGGCCTCCCTTAGGGTACCTTGACCTCCCTTAGGCTACCTTGACCTCCCTTAGGGTACCTTGGCCTCCCTTAGGCTACCTTGGCCTACCTTAGGGTACCTTGACCTCCCTTAGGGTACCTTGGCCTCCCTTAGGCTACCTTGGCCTCCCTTAGGCTGCCTTGGCCTACCTTAGGGTACCTTGGCCTACTTAGGGTACCTTGGCCTCCCTTTGGCTACCTTGGCCTACCTTAGGGTACCTTGGCCTACCTTAGGGCACCTTGGCCTCCTGTAACGTGGCTCGTTGGTACACAACAAGAGCTCGCAATCAAGGCCAGAATGGAGAACCTTTTATTAACCTAAAACACAATCTTATATATCATACAACACTCCGTGGGAGACTCTCCCAAATTAGGAACTACGTCATTTACCTATCAACAGCTAGATAGTCAGGAAACAGCAAAGTCTCTACCGCTTAATAATCCTATTACAATAATATAGGTTTTACATCAATACAGTATACACCTATGAACGCCACAATATCCCTTCACTTATTGTTTTCGTCCCGAAAACTGAATATATACATAAACGACAAGCCTAATATACAAAAAAAATAAATCGCCAGGTAACATCATATCACTTAACTAGCAACTTCAAGCACATATTTTCTAAAATATTTTCTTTGTCCCTACTCTACAGGACTATTTCCGGCATCACTTTTGCTCACTTACATCATAATTACTACAAGGCTACAGCTACTCTATCGTTGGTCTGCCGTTTATACTGCCGGACTTACGCTATCTCTGCCAAGATAACTGTCTTTAACATCTCTATTTTTTTTTGTGCTTCCATCGAAGCTACTATGATATATACCGTTCACGCGCGCAACAAATATAAGTACTCTAATTTAAAGATATAAAATGTCTTGGAAGCAACAATACATATAACATAATTATCAGTTCACACGAAAGTCAAATAAAACTGTAGAAGGGATGAACCAACGCAGAAAACGCCAGGACTTCACAGCTGGTAGGAAACATATTCTTGCCAGGTGACACTGGATAGACGATTTACTTCTGATGATTCATACACAGCACAAAGGCACAACACGGGAAATTTTCAAACTCAAAAGTCAAAATACACAGCATACAGGAAAGGAAACACATAACTCACACACAGACAGTTCAATTCAGTTTTGGTTGGCATTTACTTATTTAATACTTTCCGCTCAGTTTTCTGGACAGTCCTTGTTTGGTCTTGGTAAGATCGACGATCTGGATCTCCTCTCAGTCCACCTATTCCACTGAACACAGTCCAACTTGCGACAACTTGCGACGCCAAACGTTTGACTGCATTCTCCGCTGGATTGCCCGCTCGGTTTGTCTTACTCTTGTCTTAATACCATGGCCTTGATTGCAGCTATTGCGCGTCTTCAATCATTATCCCGCCGCTGCCACCAAATTGTAACGTGCCGCGTTTGTACACAACAAGCGCCCGCAATCAAGGCCAGAATGGAGAACCTTTTATTAACCTAAAACACAATCTTATATATCATACAACACTCCGTGGGAGACTCTCCCAAATTAGGAACTACGTCATTTACCTATCAACAGCTAGATAGTCAGGAAACAGCAAAGTCTCTACCGCTTAATAATCCTATTACTATAATATAGGTTTTACATCAATACAGTATACACCTATGAACGCCACACTCCCTTAGGGTACCTTGACCTCCCTTAGGCTACCTTGACCTCCCTTAGGGTCCCTTGACCTCCCGTAGGGTACCTTGGCCTCCCTTAGGCTACCTTGGCCTCCCTTAGGCTACTTTGGCCTACCTTAGGGTACCTTGGCCTACCTTAGGGTACCTTGGCCTACCTTAGGGTACCTTGGCCTCCCTTAGGGTACCTTGACCTCCCTTAGGCTACCTTGGCCTCCCTTAGAGTACCTTGACCTCCCTTAGGCTACCTTGGTCTCCCTTAGGCTACATTGGCCTACCTTAGGGCACCTTGACCTCCCTTAGGGTACCTTGGCCTCCCTTAGGCTACCTTGGCCTACCTTAGGGTACCTTGGCCTACCTTAGGGTTCCTTGGCTTACCATAGGGTACCTTGGCCTCCCTTAGGGTACCTTGACCTCCCTTAGGCTACCTTGACCTCCCTTAGGGTACCTTGGCCTCCCTTAGGCTACCTTGGC